CGGGGTGTGATGGAGCAAGCTGGTCACCTCATAGGAACTGCAAAACAGAGGCAAAGACACCCTCTACTGCCAACCCCTCTGCAGGTATGTTCCAATAACCTAAAAGTCTCCTCCCAGACTCTGCCCCTTAAAGATTCACCTCCTCCCAAGCTAGGGACTAAGCTTTTTTTTTTTTTTTTTTTTTTTTTTTTCAAGACAGGGTTTCTCTATGTAGTTACTGGAGCCTATCCTGGAACTCACGCTGTAGACCAGGCTGGCCTCAAACTCACAGAGATCCTCTGCCTGCCTCTGCCTCCTGAGTGCTGGGATTAAAGGCGTGCGCCGCCGCCGCCGCCGCCGCCGCCGCCGCCGCCGCCGCCACCACCACCACCACTACCCAGCTGGGGACTAGGCTTTTAACATGTTTGCCTTTGAGAACATTCCAGATCCAGACTACAACAGAGAGTTGCCGGTGGGGGTGGGGGGATTGGGGAGGTGGAGGTGGGAGTGGGTTGTCTTCGGTTGGACCCAGTGGTGGGATGCACCTCTAAGGAGATGATAAGCATTATCTTTAAGTGAAGAGTCCATGGTTTAGGCAAAGAGAGTTCCACACTCAGGGAACAGTGCATGGGGGGCCTCAAGGGGGATTCCTGCCATCAGGGAAAGCAAGGGCAGAAGGCAGGGATGTTACTGAAGTGCCGCCAGGGGTGAAGCGTGGCTGGGCCACAGGCAGACCCTGGTTTGGAGAACGCAGGTAAATTCAGAGGATAGGGGACACCAGAGAAGGATTTCCAGAAAGGGGGTGACATACTGCGGGGTTTCTGAAGTTCTTTTTGTTTGTTTTACTTCGAATGTTTTGTTTTGAAAAGACCGTGCTGGCTGCTGTCTGGAGAATGGTCTAAAGTGCGGGTGGGGGAGTAGAAGAGGAGATACTTGCCGGTCAAAGTGGATGTTCCGGTGGGGGAAAATCCTTGGCTCTCCCTTTTGGTGAGATAACGTGAAATCGAGGTGGAAGGACGAAAGCCATGGCTGACCTGAGCTCTCAGAGCCTGTGAAAGCCAGTTCTCGTCAGGAGTAGAGGGCGGGCTGAGTTCATTCAGAAGGGCAACACCGTGTCTTATTATTATAACTCTCCCCGTGGAGTATATTTTATGAGTAGACATTATGTGCAATATGTCTTGTCAGCGCAACAAGCTAACTTGGGTGTTCTTAACTCTGTTTTGCAGATAAAGAAATAAAAGCTCAGAGATTCAAAATGACTAGTACAGGGTCACAAAGGTCATAGTTGGTAAATGCTAAATCTGATCAAGCCTTTGCTCTCCCTGGGCCTGGGGGAGGGAGGAAAAGATAAGCACAGAAAAGATGCAAAAATAAACAAAATAAGGCTACTATGTTTTATAAATGTTTCCGTCATCAATGGCATAGCCATTACATAACAGATAATATAAGAAAAAAAAAAATCTCACTCTTTTCCCTGACTTGAGAAGGAACACCAAGCAAAGACTACAATTTAAAATGTTTACTTCAAAAACTGTTTGACTGCTAATATTGATGGAGGTACAGTATGCTCCAATATACAAAACACAGTAACCTATGATTCCCTTATTATGAAGACAGAGTCAGGAAGACTGAGGCCAGCCTGGGCTACATGAGTTCCAGGCCAGCTGGGGCTACACACATGGAGACCTTGTCCCAAAAATCACCCACCATCATTACCACCACCATTATCACCCACACAACTCTGTGTGTGTGTGTGTGTGTGTGTGTGTGTGTGTGTTTTCCAGACAAGATTTCTCTGTGTAGGCTTGGCTGTCCTGGAATTCACACTGTAGACCAGGCTGGCCTCAAATTCAGAGCTCGCCTGCCTCTGTCTCTGGAGTGCTGGGATTAAAAGCATGCGCCAACACACAAATTTTAAGAATGAAAATCAAGTATCCAACACTCCTAAAAAGAAAGGCAGGCAGGCAGGAGAGATGTAAATGTGGTCTAACTGGGGTAATATTAGCCTTGCCCTGGCAATCAAGGCAAGGATGACTGACGGGAAAGGTCCTCCACTTGCGACTACTTCAAGAAGGGAGCATTGTATGGGGTCACAATTCAGACTCTCTCTGGCTCTCCCCTAAACTCAGAGGTTTGCAAAAAGAACATTGTGCAGTTCTGTTTTGTAAGGAAACAGCAACCCAGTGTGAATCCTTTGGAAGGTCAGGGCTAGGCCAGTGGCCGGCTGGGTCCCCGCTAAGATTCCCAAACACAGGCTATGTCCTAAGGCTCAGAAGGCCAGGCCCTGGGTCCCTTCCAAAGGCGTCTGTGCACTCCCATTCTCTTCCAGTGAGGTTATTTGTGCACCGTTGCTATGTTCTGTTGAGAATCCATAACTGTGGGCGGCAGGGAAGTCCCAGAGAGGGCACGTCCCCGGAGACAGAGCTGCCGCTGGGCTAGGCAGCTGACCAAGCCAAAGTAAACTCCCCAGGCCATGGGCCAGACCTCTGGCTGCTCCCCTGGGGAGCCCAGCCTGCCCCAGGAGCCCTCCCTGCTCCTGCCCTGGCTGTGGCCTCCTCCAGCCCACGGGGGATACCTCTCCACCAGAGCCGGCTCACAAAGCAGGGCTGCCTCCCTCGCCCCCTTAGAGAGCCTGGCCACCCTCCTCAGCTGCCAAAGGTGAGACATCAGCCAGCTCTTGTCCCTCACACAGGACAGCCATGGATGCCCATAGCAAATCCCATGGGGGAGTAAAACGTAGTATAAGATGTGTATGATATATGTACCACTTGTGATACTGATTGTCGTCACATTTTTAATGTACAGCATTCTCTCTCTCTCTCTCTCTGTGTATCTGTCTGTCTGTCTCTCTCTTTCTCTCTCTGTGTGTGTCTCTCTCTGTGTCTCTGTCTCTGTCTCTCTCTGTCTCTCTCTCTCTCTTTCTCTCAAGAAAGGGTCTCATGTATCCCAGGCTGGCCTCAAACTCCCTAAGCTATGTTGCTATGTAGTCGAGGATATGTTGAACTTCTGATTCTCCTGTTCATCTTCCAAATGCTGGCCTTCCAGGCGGGCACCACCACAAACACTTTAGATGGCATTGGGTGTTAGCTTCCATGCTAATCAAGCCAACGTCTCTGCTAACTGAACTACATGCGTATCTAGATCAACACATTCTCTTTTTCCTATTTAAATCCTTCTTCTTAAACTCAAACTCTAAGGGATGGAGTCATCCGTCCAAGGGCACACTGGTTGCTGAGGGTCAAGCTCAAGTTTTAGCTTCAAAGTCTCTTTACCTAATTTGTATTCACCAACTGATTTGACAAATTGTATACCTACCACGTGCTGGCAAAGGACAGAGACCACTGGAAAACAGCAGGCCCTTCCTGCTTGGTGCTCAATGTGAAATTCAAAAATGACATTGGACTTTTTAAAAAGGCATTTGTAAGTCTGCTGAAATCACAGTTCTACGTTTGATTTTTATATTGTTCTTGCTGAAAAGATCACTGATGGTAAAGCTGTCTCTTTTTTGTACACACATACACACACACACACATCACACTTAGGTCACCAACACTGGGACAATCATGGAAGGTACCTTCTTTTTAGGAGCTGAGAGCTCCAGCAGGAAGCAGGTGCCTCTGTAAACATGAAATATTCTAAAGGGGATGCCTGTGGCCTCACTTCAGGATTCCTAGCGCCCCCACCCCCTCTCCTCAGGGCCCCAGAGCAAATCAGGAGGCCAGAGAGTAGGACTGGGGAAGCTGGGGTCCCCGGGGTAATTAGCCTTGAGTTGCCTACAGGTGCTACACAGGTGGTCCCAGGCCCCAGCAATGACCTAGGCCGAGCCCATGGGGTCCCTCAGCTGCAACCAATCCCGCAGGCTGCGGCCCTGCCTCCTTGACAGAGTCCAGATTTCACTTATTAAACATATTAATCTGAAGTTAACAATTTGTGCTTGTTCCGCCGAACGGCTTGGAGAAAGACTGTAAGGAGGAGAATCTGATCCCCTCACGGTCTAAGTGGCCTCCGTCGTCATCTCCTGCCTCTGAAATCACTGGAAGAGGAGAGGCAGCTCCCAGAAGTGGAGAGCAGGAGGGTGACCCTACCTGGAGTTAAAGAAACACAAACAAAAGCCTTCCCCTTCCAGCCTAGGCCTGCCATGGGACTCTGAGGACATTGCTTACCGAAGTGACAGCATTTTAAACAGTGTCCCAGAGGGCTTTTAAATAGACTTGATGTAATGCAATGATTTATGGAGCATGGGTTACCAAAATATTAAAGTTTTGAAATGTCCCTAAACCAACCATGGCCCCCAACACTATCCGCTCTGCCCGAGAGCTTCTCTGCTGCTGAAGTCTGGCTCTTATGGCTTCTTTTTAAAAAAAAAAAAAAAAAATGCAGCTGCTCTGAATAAGGGGCCAGAGAAAGATAAACAGCTTTGATGACTAGAGATGACCTTTCATATAAAAACACACTCTCTTGGTCCTCAACAGCGCAGGCCACTGCAAGTGCCAATCTCTAAGCAACAGGCTAGGTACTTATTCTTTAATTGTGTAACAACCCTTAAGAATTCAAGGAAGTTGCAGTGGGATCAAGAAGTGAATCGGGTTAATGAAGTACCCCTAGAGCACGACTTTATAAAATAAGCCACGAGTATGTAAACATGTTACAGCCTTAATCAATGGCTGCCTCAACTGTGATGAGCTAAAAATGATCTAAAAGCTCATGGAAGTCTGAAATGGGCAAGTGTGCTCATCCTCTTGTTATTACACTGGAGTGCCCCCCTTTTCCTAATCCCTGAGTGTCCTCCGGACTCAAAGAGAATGCTGTGAACCAAAGGTTGGGCTCAGAGCATTCTGACAGTTCTGTGTATGTCAAAAATAATGAAGAACGACAGGCTATCGCATTTAGACATGTAACCCGATCGTTTGCTTCGGGCCTTCCTGCTAAGATTAATTTGGAGACGGCAAAGAGGAAGGAGAAAGAGGAGGAGGAAGTGACTTTAGAGAAGGTGAAAAAAAAAAAACGTATTAAATGCTCACCTTAGGGGCCAGAGAGAGGGGCTGGCGAGACGGCTCTCGCCATGGGAAGGTGCTTGCCATGCACCGCGCACTGATCCCCCAAACCTGAGTAAAAGTAGAAGGAGAGAGCTGACTTTATAAAGCTGATCTCTGACCTCCACATGTGGACAATGGCACAACCTCCCCCCTCAATACACATAATACACACACAATCACTAATAATGATAATAATAATAACATCAACAACTATAAAATGCTCACCTTAAATGTAAGCGAGAGGCATTGATGGTATGGCCAATGATTTTCACTTAGCCAATGGGCAGGAAACAGTTGAATGAAGTTTTATGTCAGTTTTTATTGAATCTTCCTTATATTTTAAGTGCACATTTCACTGATGAACATTACAACAGAATGCACTGATGATAATGCCTCAGGTGTGCAAGAAAATGAGAAAGACCGCCTTCTTCTGGTGGTACTTTCCATAATCACCATCCTCAATACCATCACAAGCACTGTAGGGAACCTTGAAGTTGGCTCAAGGCACCCCAAGACACCAAGGACGAAGGAGAAGGGGACCAGGGAGAGGGGACTGCCTCTAGATAGAGAGGAGACAGATGTGGCCCATAGGCAAACGGTGGTTTATAAAGGTAAAATGGGAAACCCTGCGTTAATTTTAATTGAGCATGGTAATTAGGAGAGCCAACGGGGGTTTTTGATTGCTGACTTCAATACTTTGATGGCTAGACCTTGGTGGTCAGCCTCCGGAGGAGGAATTGGCCAGATGAGGGAATAGACCTTGGGGGCTAGCTTAGGAATGCAATCGAGATGATTTTTAGCAAGGTAGAGATTCAGAAGGGCAAGGCCTACCGGAGCGACATGCTCAAGTGGGCTATCATCCCTTCAAGGCCCGTTAGTACCACTACCATCATCACCGCCACAACCACTGCCATCTCCAGCACTACCACTGTCAACATTCCTCTCCTGCCCACCTCCACCATCACTACCTCCATCACTGTCATCACTTCCAGTACCACCACCCCTACCATCACCAAGTCAGGAGGCACACTTTCTCTGGGGTAAATGTTGTATATCCAAAGAGTTGCTTTCCTCTTCCAATCCAAACTAACTAAAATACAGCCTTCGACTTTTCTATTTGAAAGGAATTCCTTTTCACTGTAAGGGCCGGACACTAAAGGGGACCGAGTCTCAGGCAGAGGGATTATTTTGTGAGCTCTGTCTTGGTACTGTGATTGGTAGTTGGAAAAGCCAAACTAATGTAACAGGCAAGAAGCACCTCTCTCGAAGGGCCTGGAGGGGAGTTAGGTTAAGTTTGCTGCTAATAGACCGACGTGCAGAAACTACGCACTGAAAACTCTTTGCTTCCCCTGAAACCCATCTCATGGAGCTCTCTAAGTTTAATGAAAAGCAGTGGACCCAAGGCTCCTAGTCTTGGTTACTTAATTGCCATGAAATGCTCCAGTAATAGTAGCTTAAGGAAGAATATATTTCAGTACACGGTTCAAGGGAAGTCATTGTGGCAGAAGCTTGAGGCAGCAGGTCACAGAACAATACATGCTGGTGCTCAGCTAGCATCCTTCTCTCTCTGCAGTCCAGGACCCACGCCCGACCAATGGACCACTCTCTTTTAAGGTAGCTCTTTTTACCTCAATTGACTTAATAAAGATAACCCCTCAAAAGGAGGCCCAAAGGCTTCCTAATCTAAGTAATGACTCACAAGTGTGCTGGAGGGTCAGCCGCTAGTCGTTTCCAGATCCTGTCAAGTTGACTGCCGGCACCAACCTCTAAACCTGTTGCCGGAGATGTAAAGACATGTCTATTTCTGTTCACCCCCAGTAGAGAGGACCCAGGAAAACCACAGAAATGAATCTGTCCAAGTCCAGCGTGGTAAACCAATGACTATGCTGAGTCCTTACAGTACTTAAAGACAGCTTTGTCATCAGGAAGTTCCCTATGCAACTTAGAGTCAGCTATACTGTAGAAGAGTCCCCTATGAGTCAACCATCTACTTTTTTGTAACCTTGGGAACCCCAGTCTCTCTCTCTCTCTCTCTCTCTCTCTCTCTCTCTCTCTCTCTCTCTCTCTCTCTCTCTCTCTCTCTCTCTCTCTCTCTCTCTCTCCATGAAGAAAATTCTGACAGGCCCCATTTCATGAGAGTCTCATGGGGGTTATCACACCTTCCTGATTCAAGATGGCAATGATCCTGTCTAACACAATATCTAGTCTTATATGGAATAGAAAGGTCTCATATCATCGGCTTATTTCTATCAGTAGTATGTTAAAAAGGGATGAGTGTTTCAGGTTCATTAAGAAAAAGGATAAACGCCTTTCCCTAGTCCCATCCTAAATACATAGATACACTTTTATTACAATCCCACAGGGAAAAGAGAGGAGATTGGCGACCTTTCCACTCCTGTTCCCCTAATGTACCTGACCACTCCACATTTACTCATAATTACATCCTAATGCTTTAGCCTGGGAACTTTAATCCCTGGTTCTGAGAACCAGGAAGCCCAGGACTACACACATTGGTTATTGACTCATATTATCAAACCACATGAACCTGAAGACCTTGAGCACCAACGATGTGAGCTCTTTAATCTCTCGGTTCCCCTTAGCTGGTGTATAACCTTCCAAAGTCACATCCTCCATACGGTTTGCTATGACTACTGTAGCAATGAAATCACTCTCATGGCCTCCTCAGGACCGCAAGGGGGAAAGATTCTGAATGGCTTGGTTTGAATAGAGGTCAGACTTCTGCATCCATCTCGGGAGCAGAAATGGGACCCGTGACAGGCTTAGTTTCAAGCCCATTATGCAGCTAAAGGGCTGAACTCACACACAGAGGGCTGCTCCTATTCAGAACACATAGTTGAGTCGAGAGAGGGAGACAGGAAGGAAGGGTTGATTCTCCCAAAGAATCATAAGTAGAATCAGCCCCTTAAGGAAGTCAGCATGAGTTTAACAAGCACTTCAATTTGAGCTGACTGCAAAAAGATTGTGATACAGTGCACTGTGCGGATGTCAGTGGTGAACAAAATCCTTCATCCTGGCTCTCAAGACCCTGCAGTTCTAGAATAGGATCATGGGCAAGATATTTCTAAGCTTTGTCTCCAAAGTGCGAAAGAATCAAGGGGTCAGGTGCAGGATATTTACAATGCAAAATCCTGTCCCATTCCAGAGAGTCTGTTTTCCTAGATATAGAGCCCAGGGTTTTAAATTCCATACTACTCCTTCACAGGGTGATTTTGACATGTGAGGTTTCCTGAGCACATTTGGGGAAATCCCCACCCAGTACCTCATTTGATTCCATGCCTCCAGGTCTGAGGGAAGGCCGAGGTCTAAGTGGAGCAGACACAGTTCTGACCTTTGAAAGTTTTCTCCAAGTGTCACCTGCTGTTGCATTTGAGGGCTTAAGAGGTAGATTGTTGAGGCTGAAGAGATGGCTCAGCAGTTAAGAGCCCTGCTCTTATTACTATTTGTTTTCTAGAGGACCTGGGTTCGATTCCCAGCACCCACAAGGAGGCTCACAACCATGTGTATAACTCCAGTTATGGGATCCAGTGCCCTCCCAGGGCACCAGGTGTATAAGTGATGTACAGACATACATGCAAGCAACACACATGTGCACACACACACACACACACACACACACACAAATACACTTTTTAAAAGAGACAGAAATGGACTTTCCTTTAGGACTTTATTCCTAGAGTCTTTTTCATTAAAGTCTGGAGAGCTCCAGGCACTCTGCGGCAGTTAACCTACTGCCCCAGGCTCCCAAGGTCCCCTCAACTCTGTGGGTGGACTCAGTGTTGATCTGAATAGCCTTCCGCAACAAGCCTCTCTCACAGTGCACTTCCCTGGGACCCTGAGCTAAGATCCCACCCCACAGGAGCGCCTGTCCTCCGCGGGGGTCACTGTTCCCCATCTTCCCAACCTGTCTCTGCTCCTGCTTTCAAGGAACAAACCAATGCAGCCTTCAAGTTGATGGCTCGTGTAGGTCCCACCCCAGGTACTAAGTCTGCAGTTCAAGAGAGCCTTCTACAGAAAAGGAATGATGGCCAGGATGGGCTGGTAGGGAAGGGAAATCGATCTCAGCCAGTCCAACCATCTCAGAGCAAGCAGTCACTCTCCTAGGAAGCCACAGGAGGCAGCACAGGACCCCGGTGTGGGCAGAGTGGGCAGACTGTGGTGTGTGTGAGGAAGGCAGGGAATTCTTGCTCTCTTGGAAAGGACAGGGACTGGAGGACCTCGGGCAACCGAGGACAGGCTGAGCACAAATGAAGAGCTCAGAGAGAGAGGTTAAAGGCCGAATCACAACAAATCTAGTTTTGTAGATTTCAGCTGGTGACTCTGGAACCGGGGTAGCCGTCCCGACAAAAAAACGGTTCAGAATGCTCCGTGCCAAGTGAGATGGTGGACTGTGGCTGACAAGGTTCCCCCTGTTATGACAGCAAGTTACGGTTTGTTTCTACAAGTTAGTGTACAGTTCACTCATGTACAGAGAAGGCTCGAGGCCACACTTAACAAAGGGATCCTAGAAAGGCCTTCACAGCCTGGGTCCAGTCATGGCTTTGATCATTCTAACAGTGTGCTGGAGCCTCTATTTCTTCGTCTGGGAAATGGGAATGATAAGGACTGCACAATTTTTATCACCCAGAATTCAAACACACACACACACACACACACACACACACAATGGCAAAGCAACTCTGCCCATGGTTCTACCTTCTCATTACTAGGAACCCACACTGCCTCGTCAACACTCCCAAGCCCATTCAGAGCAGAGATCCACAGGCATGTCCATCATCAGACTTAGCACTTACCATACTCAGGTAGCACATACCTAGGACTTCTTGCTAAGGTTCCCTAAAACAGGGCAAGGAGGAAAATCCCAGGACTTCACTGATGCTGACATTCTTGGTGACAGCCTTGAAAGGCAAGGGTTTTCTCTTTTGCAAAAGATCAGCGTGAGCTAGGAACATGCATGGATTTCCCTGGAGCTATAGACAAAGCCAGGGGGCTGTTGGAAATTGAGTCAGCTGGGCCCAGGCCCGCAGCTCTAAACCACTAAGCCAACTGGCTGGGAGGGGAGGGTGTGATCAGATGCCTGCTGAACCCTCCATTTTAATGCATTCCAGCAGAAAACATCTGAGTGGCCAACAGGACGGTCCGTGCTCTCGGTTTGGATAAAGAGTTAAAAACCTCAGGGTCCCGTCCAACGCACACTAGTAACGTTCCCCTTTTGTTACATTCCAAGCACATATGCACTTTCCGCCTGCTCTCGGGTTGTAACATCCTTGCAGAGGCTATGGCTTATGACCTATCATCACCTTCCAGATCAGCCTGGAAAGCAAGAAAAATATGATGTGCGAGGTTTTCCTCCCTCTAAGCCAGTCTTAAGGAATGAGCCCTTTTCACAGGAAAAGCAGGATTGTTGAAGGGCCAACACACACTGGGTTTATTTTAACCCTATGTGATGCAATAGTAATTAGGTATATGTGATGTCTGCTTAAGAAAGGGCTGAGCAGAGTTGGGAGTTGGCTGGCATGGGTTGAAAGGTTGTGTGAAGCAAAACAATGAGATACAGTTCTTTGGGGAGAGAAGAAATCTAAAAAGAAAAGAAAGCTCCCTAGGTTTTGGAAAAGGCAATAAAGAAAGTGAAGGTGTGTGGTGTCATGCCAAAGGCAAAAGCCTGAAACCACAGTCCTCCTTGTTGTTATGACTTAACGCTGTGATTGACAATGACTGGCTCATGGGTAGGAAACAATAATCCCCATGCACCTGGCATCACGCTGCGGGAACGGGAAACCAGATTCTTTTAAGTCTGTTCTTTAGTTTCCTGCTGAAAACCATCCATGATAGAGCTGAAAGCATACAAAACTATTGCCCAATTTCCTTTTATTTTTTTCCCCCAGGGCCATGTACTTCCACAGGGAAAGCTGGGAGTCTTCCTTTGACAGGACCAAGTGGTCGCAGTCAAGCATAATAATGCCTGTGAGGCTGGTTGTTCATGTTGCCTTCCGTGGTTGGTAGGGAAGGAAGCGACCATTGACTTGCAAACCATGCACATGTACAAACAGCCCCGCCAAGCTCTGTTTGTTCGGTGGCAAACACACAGACTGGAGCCATTCAGTTGTCATCAAGATCAAGGGTCCAAATCACAATGTAGCACATCTGCCTCCCAAGGAGCTCCTTGGAAATGTTTCAAAGGGATTGGCTGCCACAGAAAGAAGAAGAAGAAGAATGGGAGGATTGGCTGTACCTTGGGTCGCTTTCCTCCATGGTCTGGTTTCTAAGGCTTCTTGAAAAGTCTCTGAGAACTTGGAGGGGAGATGAATGGTCATCTTGAGCCTGAGAAGATCCAAGTTAGTCAGTGTCATCTGTCAGCCCAAGCATTCTTAGCACTCTCAGGAACATCCTGGAGAGGATTTTGTTCCATGGATACTGTGCATACTTTTCCACAGATTGACTTCAGGATGGGATTATAATTTCTGCGTTAGCCTTCTGATTCTTTTTTTAGCCTTCTGATTCTTAAATAGTATGTCGGTAATAAACCAACTCATTTGAATGGTAAATAACTGCAACTTGTTAATACAATTCAGGTGATCCCTAGTGAGACATTATCACACCTGCCAGGGCCTCTCTCGACTGCTCATCCTGAAGGCCACAGACCCCGTGACTAACCTGGACCATAAACACATTCCATGCTCTACTTCCAGTTTTAAGCAAAAATAAATAAATAAATAAATGAAGAGTGAAAACAGTTTATCTCGTGTCCAGATAAGGAGGAATAGGCCACGTTGCATATGACAGGTTCAATTATAAATAATTAATCACAGATACTACTAGGCGTGCCTTGATTCCTATCTTTGGGTAAGGATAGGAATCCACTTACCTGCACCCTTCCTAGCCCCTGATGAAATCCAAAACCCCTTTGTTGGAATTGTAGATACAACACTCCCCTTGCCCTTCATAAACATGTTCGTACATGCAAGTGCCTTTGGAATCCTAGCAAGAAAAAAAAAACAACAACAACAAAACACTTTTGCTCAGTTGCCATCAAAGCTCTGACCAGACCACTGTCCTGGTTGGCTCTGTAGGTGTCTGGGGTGTAGCATAGAGAGACGCCTTTGGAAGAGTAACTGAGATCTTCCCAGATGTCCTGTGTAAGACAGGAGCTGGGCTGAGCCACCGCCCCACCACTGGGGACAGACAGGGACAAGGAGTGTCTGCAGCCCTTGGAGAACCAAGTTAGATGAATGACAAGATGAAGAACGGAGATGTGAGGAGCTGTGCCTACCTGGGTTCTTGGCCTATAAAAGAAGTGTTAGGCCAGCAGTTCTCAACCTGTGGGTCACGACCCCTCTGTGGGTCTTATATCAGATATCATGCATATTGGATATTTACATTACGGTTCATAACAGTAGCAAAATTATAGTTATGAAGTAGCAACAAAATAGTTTTCTGGTTGGGGGGTCACCACAACATGGGGTACCGTCTTAAAGGTCACAGCATTAGGAAGGTTGATGCCATCCGGCCGGCATCCCTCAACTCTCCTAACAGTCTGCCTCCATGTGCTCCAGCCTTGCTCAGCCTTTAACGGTCCCTCCTGGTCTATGTTTCTTTTCTCTTTCTTCCCCTCCCGTCTCTCCTCTCCCTCCTTATTGCTGTTTTGTTGTTTTTTTTTTTTTTTTTTTTTTTGCTCTGAGACTGCCTGTCCCCCAGTGGACTGGTGAGTGGAAGTCACTCGGAGGTCAGTTAGGGGAACAGGGCCCTGAGGACTCAGCCAGAAGGTGAGGTTAAAAGAGCAGACAGATGGCCAGGGGGTGTGTTGGGGGGTGGTGGTGTCAGTGAGTGCTGGCCCTGTGCAGAGAGCACAGGGCTGTGTTGAGGCAAAACTGCCTGCACTCTCCTCGGGAGACCGGTGGCAGTACCCCTCCAACACTAGGGAGGCATCTCAGCCCCTCATTCTGGTGCAGCTCCAAAGTTCCGTGGGATGCTGGGATCCTAGCTGCATGGTGTAGCTCATACCTACGGTACAGGTTACCTCCAGGCTTCTCCCACAGACATGTTTGTTCCGGGCTTGGGTGAGACCTTCCCCGGGGCGCCAAGCATTCTGGTTTTCATCTCCGCACTTGTAGTGCAGTCCTCCAGCAGAGCTAGTTAACTGCAAGCCCAGCGGGAACTCCAGAGCTCGGCTTCCGGGTTCTCGGCTCTTGGCTCTTGCTGCTCTTCAGCATGGCCCTCCTCTGCTTTCCAAGTTGCCGGTTTTTTTTTTTTGTTTTTTTTTTTTTGTTTGTTTTTTTTTGTTTGTTTTTTTTGTTTTGGCTGCCAATGGGGCTCTTGCAAGAAATGGGCTCAGACTCATTAATCCAAGCCAAGCAGAAACGAAGCTAGTCCGTGGACAGTGTTCTCTGTCTGTTTCTCTGCTGGGAACTTGAAATCCTATTGGATCTAGGATGTGGCTTTTCCTGTCTCTAGACACGCCCTTGGAGTCTAGAATTTACAAGATGAGGACTCCTTTTTGTTTCATTTATTTATTTTTAAGAGTGTGGATGTTTTGCCTACATCTGACAGCTGTGGTGTCCGTGGAGGCCAGAAGAGGGCATCAGATCTCCTGAACTGGAGTTTCGGCCAGTTGTGAGCTGCCATGTAAATGCTGGCAATTGAACCTGGGTCCTCTGGGGAAAGCAGTCTTTTAAACTACTACATCGTTTCTCCAGTTATGAGGACTTTTTAACCTAGATGAGGTTTAGAATACCAAAAGTATGGGTGGGAGGGGAGAGACCAGGAACACTAAAAGCCCCCCACCCCCAGTTCCACATCCTGCCCACTCTTTTAGAAGAGAGGAGGCATCTTATGTGTGGCTGAGCAGCTCCAAGTTAGGACCTTAGGATTGGCCCTGAACTACTGAAGCCCAATGTCACTAATGGGCGGGGCCTCTTCCTACACCCCCACTTGTCCAGCAGAAGGTGAGCATTTGCAGCATGTGGGCCCTGAGCATTCTGTACAGATCTCTGTTAAACAATCAAGAGCTTGAATCACAGACACCATTTGATCGGCGGTTGCTCTGTTTGCCGTGTTTCTCCTCCACTGAAACAAACCCAGACAGGGCAGGACTTTGTGCAAACACTCTTCCCTGTGCCCCCGGTACCCGGGACAGAATCTGGACCATGGAAGGTGCTCCATGAGTATCTGTGATGGAAATTCAAGCACAACGGCTCCGATTCTTGCTGCGTCGTCAGAGTAAGAGGCAGAAGCCCATAGTCTGTCTGGGCTGTCCATCTATCCGTTGGTTACCAGAGTGACCGCTTCTCCCCGCCCTACTTCCAGATCATTCCTACCTCCGGAACACCCCTCCTTCCCTCTTGTTTTTCTTTCCATTCTTGCATGTCTGCAGCTCTCCTACACAAGAGAGCCCATTCCCTCCATGTTTCCAAACCACTGTCCACGCCGTTTCCCCCTCAGCTTGCCTCTGGTGAGAAAAGAAAGATCCCTCCCAGAAGTGTGACTCAGAGAAAGGGACTGAAATGTCATCCAAGGCCACCGCAATTTCTCAGCCTTGCATCACGTACCCTGAGCTAAGAGCCCTGGCTTCGGTCAAGACAGAAGGTTTCAAAACCCAGCACCCTAAGGACCCCCCCTTCACCTCCTCTTCCCAGTCCCGCCCACTTTCCCCGCTTCATGGTCGCTGTACTTGGCCGCCTTGGGTGAAGGTTCTTCGCTTCCTTCCCAGCAAGTTTCCATCATTGTGGCAAAGAACTTCAGCAACCCTACAAGCCCCGCCCCGCCGCTGCCCCTCCCCTCCAGCCGCTGCCACTGCCCATTGAGGATGCAGAGACATCAGGCGCAGCCAGGTTTCACCACGGGCTCCCAGCCAAGGGGCCTCAAACTTGCCGCTGCACCTGGAGGCAGGACATGAAAAGTACAGGTTAGAAGGGAGCCGTGCTGTGCCATTCAAAAGCCTCATTCAGGAAATTCAAAACAAAACAAAACAAAACCCTGCAGTATTCACACTGCTCTGTTTAGTTTGTTCTTTCTCTTTTCCTCTGGTATTT